TGTGTATAAACCCATGCCCTTTAAATGTGTCTTCACTCTATTTGGCAAATGTATGAGCTCTACATGCCACCAAAAGAAATATGCAGTGTTGTCATATCTTTAGAGAAACAGCCTATTGCACTGGCCCAGGCAGCTGTCTTTACTCTCCATAGCAGCTGCCAGGAGGAAATTACATAAGATGGAGTTTGAGAAGTGCCAGTCCTCTGGGGTTCTTTCTCCTAAGTACCCACCAGCTATAGGCATTGAAAGTTGCCTGGGCCTTCCAGCCACCCCATTTAACCCAAACAGATAGACCCAGGGCACTGGACTCAGAAGGACCTTCACAGGTTCCCTATACCACATTCCTTCCATTCAGAAATTTGTCCTGGATTTTCATTTTCCTTTACTGTCATTGTTTGTTAATCCTTTGTTCCACCTTTCTCCTATGACTGCAACCCTTCAGCTGACATCCCTGTCCACTACACTCTTCTCCTGTATTCTCTCCCCATAATTTCTTTCCCAGTTTCTCATTTCTCTCAGTATGTTTCCCTCTTCTTTACCCATTCCCTATGCTATTCCCAGAAACTGTTCTCCTCCTCCCCACTTGTCTTTCATCTCAACCTTAGGGAGTGGTATCGTACACCACAGATCCCACAAAATTGAACTGTAGCAATATATATAAAATAGTCTCCTTTGTCCACATGAGACCCAGACACAACTCTTTACTCTTGGTCCAGCAGTTCTCACTCATAGAATCCTCCTCTTAGGCTACATCTAGAAAAGCAACACCGCCTCTAAGGAAGGTGTCTGCTTTTTCTAAAATAAAGTTCAAAAAACGGACGTGCTCTTTCACCATCCCCGTAAACCTCGTTCTACAAGGAGAACCTCGTTCTACCATATAGATGTGCCAAATTTCAACAGAGCCTCCATCAAAAGAGAGCTTTCTTTCAACATTTGACACCATATAGATGTGCCAAATTTCAACAGAGCCTCTTTTGAAAGTAAATTGGAAAAAGATACGCAATTTGCCTTTCTTTTTCCAATTTAACATTGCAGTGTAGACCTAGCCTTAGACAGGAGAAGCAACAGAAAGCAAAACAGAGACAGAACCTTCAGAAGACAGACTTCTGCTCTACGTTGTTTTCATTTTGCTGTAGCCATGTTTGTCCCATTATATGAAATACACAAAGTGGGTGAGATAATATATTTTATTGGACTAATTTCTGTTGGTAAGAAATGGCTGAAGAAGAGCTCCAAGCCTCTCTTTTACCAGCAAAAGTTGGTTCAATAAAAGATGTTACCTTGTCCACCTTGTCTATCTCTTCTGCCTTAGTAACACAAGAGGCAGCAGAACATTAGATCTCCCAGTGTTGACTAGCAACAGCCAATGACTGATCTCACCTGTTCATCCTCCCCCATTTTGCCCTCTCACCTTGATCCTTAACTACTACTTCCTTTTTCCCTGCTTTTCCATCCCACCATTCCCCACATTATCTCCCAGTATAACCATCACATATCTAACTTATGCACATATATCAACCTTGAATACTGGACAAAGTGGCTGAGGTTTTAACTAGAGGCAGAGAGAGTTCCCATGCGATCACTGAGAGCAGAAACATGGTGTGTGGACATCAGCATATACTGTCCCATAACTTGTTATTTCTTTACCTTATAGGGGATGTCACACTTAGCTAATCGCTAACGAGTCTTTTTTAAAACGGTCACATCCAGGCTGCACACCCAAGCTTTTCTTCTTTCTTCCCATGTGTATCCTCTTGATTTCATTCATTTTACTCCTCTGATTTTGGAGTAGTCACATAGACTTAGAGCGAATGATATATACAATTTCATAGCAGGGTAAACTATGGATTCTAGTTTTCATGCTTTGTTAATATTTGTTAAGATTTTCAACTCATTCTTTTTCCCGTCTGGGAAGCCTTACAAAAGTCTTCCTTATCCAGTAATGAAATAATAAAATACCACTTTTAAAGATAACTTTTAAAGATAACTTTTAAAGATAACTCCTGAAGCAGATGTTCACAAACAGACAACTTTTATTAAAAGAA